AATATTGGAGGTACTTTTTGGGTGACACCTTTGAGAGTTGGCAGAGAGTAGTATAATAACCATGATGCTGAAGGAATAAACGAAGTGTGTGATATGCAGCGGGTTATGGTGTTATATAATAATATGGTGTTATATAATAATAATAATAACAACAATAATAATATTGATTTAGCCTACTTTTAATAGGAAATTAAAGATTGCATTTAGGGAATCTCAATTCCACTTTTAAATTTACTGTCCTTATATTTATTGTAATTGCTTATTCTGATGTCATTCAATGAAATAAATTCAGGTGAATTATTCTGCAAGTCCTGGTGTGAAAATTCTTGTTTTTGTTAACCCGTAAATCCAATTAAATATAAAAAAAGTTATAACCTTCAAATGATGCAGGTTAGCCTCCAGGCTTCTTGGCAACCTGACAGTGAAGTTTGGTGGTTTCGTTTTTGGTAATCTCTTGTCAATGGTCTGAAACTGACAGGGCATTTTTCGTTGAAGAGGTTTTATGTACGTCTCACCATTGGTTGAAAGCTTAAAATTTTCATGGGTTAGTGCTTTAGAGGAAAAGGGAACATGCAATGTAAATTAAAATTGCTATTTCTAGAGTTAGAAAATGATACCTGGAGGGACAAAACGTTTCTTGTCAACTAAAATAAGATATATTTTATGGCACCTCTTCTCCAATAAACAAGTCTTTTCCTCTGGCTGTTTTCGTTTGTTGAGAAAACCACATCATCATAGTTTTTGTTACACCAAGCTGTTCTCCATGCATGTGATCAGTTACATAACCAGGAATAACATCGTGGTTTTGTAAAGCAAGATTGAAACTACATCCTTTAATCCCATTAACCTATGGTATTAAATCAGTCAAATATAATAGCATTCTACGAAATGATACAAACAAACACAAAGATGTTTTTTCAGTTTAGTTGGTTTTTAGTTGTATGTCCATTGTAATTTAACAAGCACCACTCTTCTTTCTTAATACATTTCTAGTAACTTTTCTTACTGCTGGGTTTAATTGCACACTGTGCGCCCGATAGTAATTGTTCATTCAACCCAGTGGAAATTGACCCATTTACTGTCGTTAGAAGAATTAACCCGCCGACAGAAGGACTCTGTCTAAAATGGGTATGTAAAATCCGAGTAGGCAGGTCATCTATTGTCCATTTTTTCGAGCAACTCTTACTAAGAACATAAAAGTAATGTCACTTCTGATAGAACTTACAAAAGAGGAAGATACATTCTATAATGAAATCCAGTTGCCACAATGTGGATTCCAAAAAAGTACGCTGCGTTTGCTTATCTACATTTTTTGTCTCATGTCAATTTCCCTCCTAGCAATGTTTAATTTGCTCACGGCAAATTCAGTTTCGCTCAGGGCAATTTCAATTTCCTCTCACTGCTATCTCTGTTAATTAGGCCACATGTCAGCGGAATTGCTAATAACTCTAATAACTAAACCAGTAAATTTTGCGCGTAGTGTTAAAATATGGTGAAAATGAGAGAGTGCTTCCAGGATCCTTGCTTTATAAAGGTCGTGAATATCAGGAAATTCTCTAATTAATGTTAAGTAAGAACCACGTGCAGGTGAAAGCCCGAGCAGTGCTAGCCACACTGAAAAAGGGTACTCTTTGATCACCAAGTATTAAGAAAGACCATTGTGGACATAGTAGATGATCCTGGATGGTCAGTTGGCTACCTCAGCATTTGACATACACTCCAGTAGAAGGGAATAAGCTGAGAGTACCTAGAAGCTAAGTGCAAGAAATAGATCATGAACTAGTTTCTTGTGCAACTGAGTTAAGCTATTTCCGAAACCACGTTGTCTTAGCAATCTCACTACTCTCACGTCACAGGCATAGTTGTGGGTGATGATGGTAGGATACTGCTTCCTGTGACCCACATCTAACTGATCGAGGATACCCTGACTCCAGCCAATAACTTTCCTCTTGCACTTCCCACCCTCGAGATACTCGCTTATCAAGGAGTAGTAGCCATCCAGGTCAAGCACCTGTCTAACATGTGGGTGCAGGCCTGCACTGGTAAGAGGGTGCTTGACACAATCATCGTTTGGACAATGCAACCTCACTTGCCATAGTTTCCTTGGCATCCTTAGTAGGAGGCGCCATGTAAAGTACGTGTTTACGGTGGGACGCTCATTCACCCTTAACGACGGCTGGGGTGGATACCACCAAATTTGTTTACCTTTGACATGTCAAGCTCTGCTATGTCTTTACTGGAAGACTGTTTAAAAATTCCCTTGGAAACCCAAATGTGGTCTTCTTTGTGTAGGCTCTTTTTCTATCCCTCAGGCAAGGGGTAATCTGTGTATGAAATTGATTTTCTTATAAGTTTATTATTATTATTATTTATTTTATTTATTCTTGTTTTTATGATTATGACGATGATTATTATTACTATTATCATTAGTTCTTATTATTTTTTATCACTATCATTATTATTACTAGCTATTATATTTATCATATTTGGCCATATTTATATATAAGTACATCAAAAATAACTTTTCATTGCATGATTAATATAAACTACTAGAGAGAAAGAGAGGGAGAAATTTTAGAAATATGTTGGAAATAATTCTTTTAAAGACAGTAGTTTTAGAATATTTACCTTTAGATGCACCAACTTGTTTCTCTTCTGTTTGAGGTTTTGGAGTAGTTTTTGGAAGAACAGATAAACTATTTATGGCATTAGCTGCAGACAACAACAGTTCATCGGAAACACTGTTCGTGTCCTCTGGGATGCCTTTACAGATTTGCCTAAAAAATGAAAAAAATGAATAAAATTATTTGACTTTATGACTTCGATATATTCAAGTGACTTAATGTATGCAATTCAGTGACTCGATCAACAGTAGTATATTTGATATGTATTTACATTTCTCGACTGTTAAATCTTTCACTACCTTTTTTTTTGTTGAGTTCGTTTTGAAAAAAGTCTGAGAATAGAGAGAAAGAGAAGATGGGGCGGGGTTTAAAATAAGTGTCTTATTAAAAAGTTGTTGATAATGATAGCCTGTTCGTGTTTTCGATCACTGTAGTGTAACAAAAGAGCGATTACTTTACCTTGAATAGTTCGATGTAATCGCTTTGCAATTTCTTGCAGAGATAACAAACTTCGTCAAACAAGCGAAGCCACAGCAGTTCTACTAGATGTGTGAGTCGATGTCTGCCTTGTAGTTGAGCTTGAAGTCGAAGCCAAAGCCATTTGCTCTTTTGCCTTTTCTTTCTTCAATGCCAAGGCCTCTCTACCTTCGGGAAAGGACTTAAAATATTCCGCGAAGGAATCCTCATTTACTGACAAGGGTGAACTCGAAGCTGTCTCACTGGACATGCTGTTCACAATCCATGCTGCGTATCCAAGACCATTTTCTAAGAGTCATTTGAAAGTCTTACCCCTGAATCTGCCAAACTGAAGTTCAAATTGGCAAAGAAGATCGGTTCAATTGCTCAGATTTCCACCAAGTCGTCTCACCTCACCTGGCTTCTTTGAAATGTACGACTGATCGGCAGTCTGAGGAGTTTTAACACTTTAAAGTAGTTGCTGGTAGTGGGGGTTCCCTTTGCATTCCTGGAATTACCCAGCTACAAAAGAGACTGGGCATGAAATTTCTGCAAAGGCGGAGGGGATTCCTTATATTACGCTGTTCAACAAGATTTGATTTGAGTCTGTGAAGGTCAAAACGAACAAAGACACTTTCAAGCCACAGTAACACTGAAAAAACAACGGTTTATTTGCTCCGTATGTCAGTAGATTGTTCAAGAGAAAGAAAATTGAACAATATTATTAAAAAATACTTACATTTTCTACAGAGAAGCTCACTTATCACTAGTAGGCTATTTTCACCCCATTGACGTCTTTTGATTCTAGTTGTCAGAATTCCTTTTGTTTTTGCTTTCTTACTTTAATGGAGGAAGGCAACAATGGTCAATGAATCAAAAGAATCGATTAACGCAATGACACAGGAACCTGTATGATTCTGCTTGGCATTTAGAAAGTCTAGAATTCGTATTCAAACGATGTCATATTGCAGCTGTCGTGTTTATAAGTAAAAGGACAAGACGCTGAAAAAATTGATGTGTAACTATACAACAAAATAATCACCCCACGTTAAAGGATGCCCTGTAAATTTAAGGTGGTAGTTAACCCTACATGGGAAAAAAACAGTCTCATTGGCCTAATTTCGAAGCAATTTAATCAATCTCCACGAGAATTGGCAGAAACCAAGACCTCATCATAACAAATAAATTGATATTAGTTTTAGGTGCTTTGGTATTATGGTTTCCATGGCAACCACAAACTAATGCTGCACAAACAACAACTTTTAAATGCAATAAATTGAAAGCAATAGCAGATTTCAACTCCCAACAAACAAATGTGACTTCTTTAGTGGCCAGCTGTGCAACAAGTAGATAAATTCTTGATTGGCCTCATTTGCATTGCCAGTTGCTATAAATAGATGGTTTCCATGGTTACCAAAACAATTTTGCCATTTTCACAAAAAAGACTACTTGTTGCATAGAGGACACTAAAATACACTTTTTGGCCAAAAATGAAGGAAATCCATTTAATGCTCTCAATGTTAGAGCTTTTTTAAGTTAGCCACCTTCAAATATTCAAATATGAGAAAATCAAGGATAAAAATAAACCAATGGTTTAGTGAGAATGTTCTTCACCTGAAGGCACATAAGCAACCACTTTGCCTTTCATATTTACAAATGTGCATTTTAAGAAAAAATGAAGATTACAGTGTTTCAACAATGAAACTTCCTGTTTTAATCTACTTGAAGCTACTTAAAATTAATTAAAGTCAAAGTCAATTACTCAGTCCGCACTCTTTTTGGGGCAGTGAATTCATACTCAGGCTGAATAAATACAACCTCTACCTGCTCAACCACTGTTTTCTCACTGTTTTGTCTTTTAGTGCTTTTTCCTCTTCCTTTCCTTTTCTTTGCCACACACTTATCTGGGTGAGAGCTTAAGCTAAAACCTCCAGACTGATACGCAGTGTCATCTCCCTTGCCCTTCTTTTTAGCCCGAAGATTTTGTCTTTGCTTGCGGTACTTGCTACTTATCTTCTGAGAGGCACTTTTAACCCTTGATTGATCTTGCTTTCTGAAAGCTTACATTGTGTTGACCCCTGGAGTGACATGGCACAATTCCATGGTGACAGCTTTACTACCAGCACCAGTATTGAACACTGCAATAGTCTCGCATGCTGCAATACGCACTCTCCTAGCTCCACAAAATTTAGTTTTAGAACACTTGGACCACAGCTGGCCATTCACAGCTTCATTCTGATTTTGTGTCATTCCTTTTAAACATCTTGAAAGGAGATCAACTTTAGAAAGCCTGATGAAAATGGGATCTAGCTCCTCCATAAAGACTTCAGGTAGGCGTTTGCTGTCATCATAGGTAGAAGTCCCTTTCAACTTATCCTTCCAGAACTTGCACCAAGAATTTTTATCTTTAGGACAATACAGATGTTGTTTCTCAAGGGGCAAAGTTTCATTGACAATCATGTGATGTTGAATAGCTTTTATGCTATTCTTCATGCTCTGCAAGTCACCTTTGTTCTGCCTTATGGCTTTCCCATAATAGTTTTGCATTTTGTCATTCAGCTTGTCAGTTAAACGCCCCCTCCCAGATACTCCTTTGCCATCTGAAAGCTTTTGACCCTTCTTATTGTTTTTGTATTGCCTAAGTGCAGTTCCAAGCCGTTTTTGAACATGTCCTACACATTCCTCTTTTTGAACAACATAATCATCACCGTATTTCTCCATCATGGCATCTTTGACCCTTCCAAACGAGCTGCTGTCACCATCTCCCACGAATGTGGTGTACTTGAGCTGCCGTTGTTTAATACTCCTGCTGAAGATTTCAATTGCAGCCACTACCTCCATCTCCTCAGAAGAACCATGATGATTTATTTGGCAAGTAGAAGCATGGGCATCTTTCCAAATTTTGTACTCGTCAGTTTCTTTGTCCAAACAATTACGAGCTTTACACTCATGGCAGACAAATGACTTCACACTATAATCCAGGATTTCTCCTGTGTTGACAGAGATTACAAAGACAACTCCAATTTTCGAAGAGTGCCCTCTTTTCTGCCATGTGCCATCAACTGTAACAGCAACATTCGCCACTGGCTGGTCATCAATCACTTTCACACCACTTGGTCTTTCAGCAGTAACATTCTGAACAAGCCTCTTTGCAGCTTCTTGCATTAAACTTTCAGCATTTGTCACCACAGCCTTTTCAATTTGAATAAGATGATCATTGTAGGCCTTTTTTGTAACAGGTGGTGGCAAATTCATCCCAGCACAAAACTGAGACAGTCCAGCATGACCAAACTGATGGGACGATAGCACTGACCTCCGGTTTACTTCATGTGCTCCCCCACCCCTACCACCCAGACGCCGGCTGGTTTGTAAGGGAGTTTCTACTGTGCACAATGAACATCTTAGAAATAAAGATTCTGACAAACCTTCTCTCTCAGCGTTCCTTTGAAACAGCTGAAGCTTGGAGCCTGCCCTCTGGCAAAGACTACAAATTGCAGCGGTCGAAATACACTCACTCAAAATCACGGCATCCTGAAGCTTGAAACCAACTGTATGTTGAACTTGCGAGGAAAGTCCAACTCCAATATGCTTTGCCTTTTTGCGAGTAGTTATGCCCTGTTCACTTTCAATTTTTCTAAATGAAGAATTCTGCAATTTTCTGAGAGAGACATTCTCTTTGATTGGACTCGATGCTGTGAGTGGCACTTTGTCTTCATCAACTTGCAATGCACATGTGCTTTCTTGATCATTGCGGTCTTTCTGCAATTCTGCTGGTCTTCTTTCTTTTGATCGACCTAAACTTTGTTTTAACTTCCTTGGCCATTTGGCAAGAAAGAAACAGAAATTAACGCCCACTAAAGTTCGGAAACAGTCAATCGACTCAGGACGCCATCTTTGAAACAGAGAAATGATTTGTGATACGAAGACTCATAGAGGACTGGTACGAGTGAAAATCCATTGGAATTGAGGAATGAAGGTTCCAGGACAGTGGAATGCGTTTTTTACGCCAGTCCTTTCAATGCTGCAGGAGTTAGGCCCATAGCAACCAAAGTAAACAAAATCAAACAAACCTGTTGCTATGGATAAATTAACGACACTTGAATAATTAATTGCAAATTAAAGGCGGGAATTTCAAATTTTTGAAAAAATAAAATGAGCCCTCGTAAGGACACAAAAACCTTCATTCTATGGTGCCCATTCAGTGTTTTTTAAATTTTTGAGTTTTTCCCTAATTTTAGGGTTAACTACCACCTTAAAGAATACTAAAAGACTCTTTGTAAGGTAATTAATTTGCAAACGATGATAGTATCAGAACAATCGTGGTAAGTAACATATTTTGATATCGTAAGATGTAAATATGGAAACACTGAGATTTTACATTTGACTCAATGCTGATCAATTGGCAGGGTTTTAATTACAATCTATTTAATGGTGAGCCATTTCCTTAGAAATCGGCAACCGGTTATGGTAGTTTGAACATAACTATTGATTGCTCATTTTTTCTATTCTTCTGACTTTTTAAACATTGAGAGGCCCCAGTTCTCAGCCTGTACTTTTTTAGTGGCACTGCGGACGTTTTAGCCTACTCCTCTTTTCTCTTCCTGTAACTTTGGGTGCTAGCAGGAATTGGTTCTGCAGGTACTGCAATTGCAACAGGGGTTGCGGTTACATGCCTGGATGGGCTCAGGACCATCCCATTTGCTGAAGGCAACTGAGGTAATTTGGGTAATACTGAAGGCTTGCTGTGTTGAGCGTCTGTTTCTCTTGGTTTACACCTGTGTTAAGGGACTCTGGACGCTCTCTCGGCTATGGCAATGTAGTATTTGTGGATGCCACTGGAGAAGGTAGATTAATACCTTGTTTGAGGACAACCTCCTCCTGTTTCCTTGAACGCTTGCTGTACCTGAAAGGCAATCATCAATACTGACCTCAAGAACTCAATTAGAAACTCCCAGACTGAAAAATGTACTTATTTTGGATTTTGTTCTGATGAATTCTGATTGAATCAGTTTTTTTGTTTAAATTTCTCATATAAGGGAATACACTTCTTTGAGGTTTGTCATTGTGACTTTCCACTGAATCAACGTCCTTTGGTTTATTTCAGCAAGTTGAATGCCAGTCTGCTGCATTACATGGACATTATTAAGCACAGCTTCTCTGATTTTCTTGTATGAATTTCCAATCAGTCTCCACAGCAATGTCGTGTTGCCATCTCTTCGTACTGGTGAGGGGAAATTTGGGTAAGCTTTACAATCACTGCTTCCATGTATCGGTTGCAGTGAGGCCATGAAGCAAGACCACTGTTCTGCCCCAAGAAACATCTCTTTGTGCTACTTGCACCAGGGACTACAGTGGATTTCTTAGCAGCTTTAGACCTTCCCTGTGTGAGTTGTGGCTAGTGTCATGGACTAAAGGCAATAGGTTGTCTTTCATACTCAAGTTCTTCCAACGTGCTACCAGCTAAGAAGCTTGTTGGTTTGATAAAGCTCCATTGCAATCCCTCGAGTATACAAGAAAGTCGGCTAATGAAGTTACCCTGTCATAGCCAGGGATGTTCCTTGGGCCCACAGAATCGTCCTCTCCAGAATCCCCTGTTGGCTCTGTAAGAGTTTCAGGAACATGGAGGTCAATAGTGTAGACCATAGTAGGATCTTCAGAGTCTGGTCACATCCTGTAGACCAAGCCGATATAACTTTAGTTAATTCAATGTCCTCAATTGTGATTGGATAGATCAATCATTTAGCTTTTCAGGTTTCGAATTTGGTGGTTCCACTGTAAAAAATTTAAGGGAGCTCTTAATGAACAACTAGTCTGAGAAGGTAGATAAGTATCATGTATCAATTAATTTTATTATTTGCTATTTTCTCTTTTATTAGAGCTTGTCTGATTTATGGATTAAGGTGTGGTTTAAAATTCCTTAGTGTATTTTTTTCAAGTGTTGTGTAGTAATTCTAAACTGAAACGCTTCATCTTCATCATCTCCATCTGGAACCTGCAGAGATGGTTCATCGTCCTTGTCAGAGCTGGCTTTCTGTAGCACTTGAACAGTCTGAGCATACAAGTACTCCACACCTATGAACTCTCCTGTGGGGAATAAACATATATAATAAGTAGATATAAACTTTGATATTTACTCAAATAATTTGAGTATGTGATTTTGAATATAAATAAGACACTTTGGCCTTTCACACTCTCTTCCACTTGTAAATTCCAATAACCTGTCCTGGGATGTGAATATTTTTGGGAATCTCGAATTAAAAGAGTAAATGGAATATTTTGCAATTACCTGTATACTTATTTGGTCCTCTGAAGTTTGCAAACAGCTTTTTCCCTAGCACATTTTCACTTAGATTGTTTACGGCCGAAGTCAGTGCAGAGTCAAATGTAAGGGCCGAATTAGCTTCCGTTACTGCTGCCACTTGTCTGTCTCGGTTCCATCTTGCCACACCTTCCAACAAGAAGGCATGAAAGTGTAGATCATTTGCACTAGTACCTTAACTGAAGAAAATAGAAGTATAATATAGGTATTAATGATGACATTAACAAATTTTAATATTGATAATAGAAACAACAAATAAATAACTGGAAATATTCTGTGCGTTTGACATGCACTCCAGTAGAAGGGAATAAGCTAAGACTACCTAGAAGCTAGGTGCAAGTAATGATCATGAACTAGACCTGACAGACTTGAAGTGAGAAAAACACACAGGCTGCAAAGGCATTGGAATACATGCCCAGGACCAAATAAGGTTTGGCGTTCAGATTTCCGATACTATTGGGTATCAGTTGGTTATCTCTTATATGTATAAAGATGTGTTTAATATACGAAACTGGTGTTTCCGAAACCGTCTGCTCTTGAATCCAACCAAGACCAAGCTCATGGTGCTTGGCAGTAGCCAATTGTTGCCTCCATTGCAAGACTTCAGTGTATCTCTACTATTAAAAGATATCTTTCCTACTCAAACGGCCAAGGACCTAGGTGTGACTTTAGACCCTTACTTGTTTTTCGATGAACATATAATCAACATGTTTCTACTCGTATGTCTCACCGTGGGCAAAAAAAAAAAAATGCGTAAAACACGCATTTGATAACAAGATTTTCTTGACTATCTTAAACACCTTGGTTTTCAGTAAATTATACCGTTGTTCAAATGCATGGGTAAATAGGTCAAGGAATAACATACAAGAGTTGCAAGCTGTGCAAGAATTTGCCTGCCATATTTTAAGTGGAACCTGCGAATACAATCATATCACTCCCTGTGTTAAAGAACTGAGATTGATACCTGTTGGTAGCGAGCCTTTCTATCGTAGCGCCATTATGGCATTGAAATGTACGTCGGGCTGTGCCCTATGAATATCTTTCCTCACAATTTATTAAATGTACAGAAGTCAGAAATCATAGAAGTTGCAATTGATAAAAACTGAACATGCCTCTTTTTAAAACAGCAAGTAAATAACGAACTTTTCATTACAGAACTGTTAGTTTATGGAATTCCCTTGACCCGTCTCTTAAACTTTGTAGGAATGTAGGACTTTTTAAACAGTCACTTAGATTTAAGTTATTGCAGGAACTATGTGTGACCTAATTTCCTCGGCTTTGAACATTTGTATGTGTTGTAGATTTCCACTATTACGAATGAATTTATCTATTACAGTCCTGTAGATGACTTTGCAGATGTATAAAGTTATTCTCCTAAAGTCCCGAAGATGACATATGCGCTACTAATATTGCTTAATCTATTTTTACTCACTGTCCACAGTTGTTAAACAAGTGGTGCTCTTTGTGGTGGTAAGAGCTTTTCAAAATGGTAGGGCAGCTTTATCAGGAGCAGCTGCTTCTCTTCACCCAATAGTGATGTCCATTTCAGTTTCTTTGAATCCTTTGTTCTCCTCACATTGAGGAAATTTCCCAGGGAAAGTACTGTGGTGAGGAAATGGATAGACTTTTTTTTTTCTGATGGGGGTTTCCCTTTGTTGTCAGCTGCATTTGATAAGAGGACAAATTAAATTATTAATGAGAATTTAGTGTGCAATTTTATAAACTTTTCACAACATGTGTACCATAAGAGGCCAAAGAAAAATATCATTCTTTCCTCATCTCATTTTACAACTTCAAGGTTTGGGCCTGTTTCTGGTCGATCCATTACTCTTAGCATTAGGTTAAGCTCGTTAACAATCATGCTGAATCTCAAATATTGGCTGGTGCTGGCACCCAGGTTGTCTGTGGCAATATGGACCAAGTTGTCCTTTTATGTTAGGCAATTGGTAATAACAGTATATGGAACATCCATGTTGCACCTAACGTTGAAGATCATTAGATACATGCATACTATATATTTTAAAGAAAGGCTTATAAATGATCAAGCAAAATCCTAAGGCAAGACTACATTTTGTGTGAAATTGGGAATTGTTTACATTAATGGAAATGGGAACTGCTGCGCTCAGCTTAGTTGATCCTCATACTATAGATTCTTTTTCCTTGTCTGCTATCCTTGCTAAATAAATTATTAAAAACTGAGACA